GTCCTCAAAGTGGCATCCTTGCACTTTAAAAAAAATGTCTTTTTTTATTTAATTTTTTAATTTTAGTGAACATTTACAGAGATTTTGGATTCCCATTCATTTATTGCTTCCTTGCACTTTTTAAAAAAGCTCCTTTGCAGCAGATTTCCCTAATGAAAGACGACATTTGACTTTTGGGGTTTTTTTTTACTTTTTTTAAAAAAGACTTTATTATTATTTTAGTGAACGTTTACAAAAAATATTGGTTTTTCATTAAAACATTGATACGTGGGGAGTGTTGGTGGCCTAGTGGCAAGGAGCTGCAACTACAATCGCAGAGGCACACGGTTCGAATCCACCAGATGCTCTGCCGGGGAAGGAGGGACAATCTCCTCCTGTACCAGTCAGATCTGATTTGACGGTACACTCACCCAAAAATAATAAAAATTTTAAAAAACCACATTAAAAAAATAAATTTCAAAAACCACATTGATACGAAAGGCATCGTTTTTGACTTTTTGAATGTTGTATTGTTACGTGCCATTGAGTAGAAGCTGACCCTTCATCTTGGGTTTTCATCTTTCTCACCCAGAACAGGTGGTGAATTCCAGCTGCCTGCCTTTGGGTTGGCAGTAAACCTCCTTCACCCACCAGGGCTCCCTGACTTTTTGAATGGTGGTGGGAATCTCAAAGCCACGTGCTCTGGAGAGAGCTCCTATCAGGGACCTCTAAAAAATGCTAAAGAGCAATGATGTCAGTCTGGAGACTAAGGTGGAGGAAGAAAGTAGCAGTTGCCCTCAGAATTAATCACTCCCTAAGAAACCTACTGGCTTCAAGAACAGACAGCACAAAGACCAGGCCAAAGGATAAATTGTGACAAGGCTCTGGGCCTGATCAAGAAGCCCCAACCTGAGTTAATTAAGAGCCTCAGATTCCAAGAGGTACCATCTTCCTTAGCCCTCCCCAAAACCCCAAGAAAAGAGATGACCCCTAATTGTGGGCACACCATTTTTACTTTCTTAGCTCCTTGTCATTTGGCCTCCTTCTCAGACCATTCAATAAAGGCCTATTCGTTTCTTGGGGCCAGTTTCTTTCTTTTGCCCTTGACTCTTTCTAACATAAGGTACACTTGTTTCAGACCATGGCTTTTGCAATTATTTGCTATGCATCACAGAGCTGGACAATGGCTGGCTAGGGGTGACAGAAGAAGAAGAAAAATCAATGCCTTTGAGCTGTGGTGCTGAGAAGAGTATTGAACATACTACCATGGGTTGCTAGAACAAACAGCTTTCTCCTGGAGAGGGTGACAATAGGCTGCTTCTTGGAGACAAGGATTTTGAAGTTCTGTTGCACATACTTTGGACATACTGCCTGGAGGGACCAGTCTTTGGAGCAAGATATCATGCTTGGAAGAATGGAGGGACAGACAGCACAGGAAAGGAAGACCCCCAATGAGATGGATTGACACAGTAACTTGGGTAACGGAGGTAGGTGTGTCGGAGACAGTTGAAACTGGCTCAGGACAGGGTAGAGTTCAAAGCTATTGTACATGAGATCGCTATGAGTTGCTGGTGACTTGATGGCATTTTACACCCCCTCCTCCATTACAGTGTGAATCAATGGAGCAGTCCTCTATTGGGTGTCTGAGGCTGTAATTTTTGTTTTCTTTAAGATTGAAATATGTTTTATTGTTACAAGTCAGGGCCCTCAAACAGCCTTCTATCTGTGGCCCCAGGATATCACCGTGGAGACATCAAGAGGTCATGATTGCAGGGCAGGTCACTGTAACTGAAGGACATGATTCAGGGCTGTCCAGCCAGGAAGGCAGGAACATGGTCAGATGGGCCGCAGGTGGTCAGGACAAAGGGCAGGAGAGGGCAGTCCCCTTCATTCCTGTTGCTTCTTCGCCAGCTGTGACCAGACCCAGGCCAGCAGCACAAAGAAACAGATAAAGAAGGTAGTGAGTCCAATGATGGAGTCCAAGACCCCGACCTTCTCGTGCGGGGCTTGGAGTGGACCTGGGTGCGCGTGGTACCAGAACCCGCCAGCCCGGGAGTGCTGACGGCGCTCTGAGGCTGTAAATCTACCCGGCCTTCTCCAGAGCTTACTTGATTATTTAACCTGCAAACTTGATGAACAGCCCAGCACTTTACGCACCAATCCACCAGGACTCATTGTAAGAGTGGGGAAAGACGGCGAGCTCTGGTGGCCTAGTGGCAAGAAGCTGCACTGCAATCCCAGAGGTGCACAGTTTGAATCCACCAGACTCTGCTGAAGAAGGAGGGACAATTTCCTCCTGTACCAGTCAGATTTGATAGTACACACAGACACACACAAATAATTAAAAATAAATTGGAAAAAAAAAAAGAGTGGGGAAAGATGGGGAAGGGAAAACTACACCAAAGCAGGACTAGACAAGACCCTTGTATCCCAGGTAACTCTGGTTCCCAGAGTCAAAGAATTAGAAGGGGGGGGGAATCCCCGTGGACGATCTTCCCAGTGGGGTGGTGGATGGCCTCTCACTGAGCGCACCTGGATTCACGCCTTAGTGAATGGAACCCAGAGCGCACCAATGTCTGAGAGCCAGAGCGCTCAAAAAAATCCCATCACTTGTCATGACGGGAGTCCAGAGCTAACGCTGCAGAGTGGACCTGGGGGGTTGTTGTTGTTACGTGCATTTGAGTCGCTTGCGACTCAT